TAGCAGGTTGACGTGGAGATTAGAAAGATTCTTGTCCTAGTTATGTCTATATTTTGTACATAGTAGCCAAAAATTCAAAATATTTTTTAATTTTTGTTTAAAAAATTGGGAACTCTCTTTAAGCCTGTTTTACATTTACCATTTTTTAATCAGTAAATAGGTTAAAAAATATGAGACCAGTATTTTTTCTATTTTCATATTGCCTCTAAATAATTAAAATATGCATCGTGACGTCATTAAGCGCAAATTTTAAATTTGGCATTGAATGTAATAATTTTTGGAATATCTTAGTCCATTGCAGATGGCAATTGGCTTATAAATTAAAAAAGTTATTTTGGCAAGTATCGTCGGACCCATAAAATGTTAAGTTTCGTAGTAAAATGTTCTAATCATGGTATTTTAAGTCTATAAATTACTTTTAGACATTATTTATAATTTTGTTTTGCAAACAAAAAACTGTCTAATTTGTAATAAATCGCTCAATCTGGCAACGGTGGTTTTCTGATATTTCCTTTAATTATTACAAGATCGTAGACATCTAGTGAAGAACGCCGAAAAAATTGATGCAGAAAAATAGTAAAGTAGAATAAAATTTCAAATTAAATACAGTGCAATCAAAATTGATTTTAACGTATCAAAATTTAGTTTAGTATAAACAAAGACATGTAAAAATTATGAAAAATTCCGTCAAATTGAATGAACTACTTTACTCCAGCTCAATCTTAGGGCTTCATTTTGAAAATGGCATCCAAAGTTTGCAAAAATAGCTCTTTTTATTAAAAAAAACTAAACATTAAAAAAAATGTTTTAGACCAGTTGTAGAACTTTTTATAACAAAAATTTTGAACCCAGCCCGATGTCAAATGATAAACAAAAAATGTATTAGCTATTGCAAAATAAAGGTTAAAAATCACATTTTTTAAAACTTCTACAACTGTAAAGCGAAAAAGATTTTTTTACGAAACGTTCAGAATATGTAGTCTTTGGTAAGTAGAATAAGTGCATTTTTGTAAAATTGCAAAATATTTAATAATTTTTGCAAAAATTTAGTTTCTTGAAAAAAGTAAATTTTTTTCAAGATTCAATAAATCATACAGTAATGCACTTATGTGACCCATCTCGAGCTTAAAATTTTTTCTAAGAGTTGTACTTTTCTGTGCAAATTATGCGCATATTGCAAAATAATTAGAAATACGCGAAAAATCTACCGAAACTTTGACTTCTCTTTTCAGGTGGAAAATGTAGATCTTTTTCTTACCGTTGAAATTTAATCCGAATGGCATTATTGCCATTTAAAAGCCGACATTTTTTCACGAATTTAAAAAAAAAAATGTTGACCTATGACCAACAGGAGTCAAGAATTTTTTTATTATTTTTTTTTTAAATCGACCTCATTCATTAATATTAAGGTTTGAAATTTATACATGTTGTAGTTGAATACTTTTACTTCAATATAGAAAATAGTCCGCTATGATTGACACCTTTTTTTTTTTTACAGTAAACTTAATTTCGTTGGGCGTCATAAAAAAAAATTCTATTCTCTGTCCTTGCAGGACTTTTGAAGGTCAAACACATTTTTCTTTGAATAACTGGACAAAAATGTTTCAAGCGAAATTTGTAGGATTGTGATGACTGGTGACCTTGGATTCGACCTTCACGAGGTGCAGGGTCAAACTAAGGTTAACTTGATATCAAATGGAATACACAATTTTTTATACCAACAATTGATACAGCGGCAAATTTTCTGGGATCCTGAAAATGACGGTGAAATCAAGATGGCGGACGAAATTTTTGAAAGTTAACCGATTGTCAGTAAATGTTATATACGGAGGTTTTCGAGGTCGCTGATCACGAATCCGAGGTCAGATTTTCAAAATTCAAGATGGCGGATCCAAGATGGTGGATGGGGTTTTTTAAATTTAATCCATGAGGACTGAATTTGATATACGGGGGTTTTGGGGGTCACTGACCCCACATTCGTGATCAGCAATCCCAAAAACGACCGTATACCATCTTTGATGCAAATCGACTTATTTTAAAAAAATTCGTCCGCCATTTTGAATTTCGCAAATTTGACCTTGGATTCGTGATCAGCGACCCCAAAAACCCCCGTATACAACGTTTGGTGCAAATCGGTTGATTTTGGAAAAATTCGTCCGCCATCTTGATTTCGCCATTTTGAAATTTTTGAAATGGTGAAGGTCATATATGAACATAACATTTTTCGGGGTCAAAAATTGGAAAATGCAAAACAGTTTTGGATCTAAACCTAATTTTAGAACAATGCCCCTTGCACGCCCTTTTTAGCTAAATTTTCGCCCATGTCAACCCCCCGACGAGAACGCATTAGCGTAGCATTTAGACTATTAAGAAACTTTTACTTTATAAACTTTATGACTACCATCACTGTTTCATATTTAAATAACTATAATCTCTTTCCTATTTTATCCTATCTACAATTTAAACAGGCGTACCAAAGTCGGGGTCACCCACCCCGTCTGCGTTAAGCGAATTAGCGTTATAAACATATCTCGCGAGGAGCTTCTCCTTCCTCTGTTCGTTCTCCAGCACTTCGGTGTAGTCTTCGTTCGGGCACAGTCTCAAGGCCTTGCCGACTCTGAGGTTCTGCCCGTGGAGCGAGAAGTACTTTTTTGTACCGGTCGGCTTACTTATGGAAACGTTGGAAGCCGGCTGGTCTGCGACGTTCGTGAAATTCTTTATAAATATGTCGGAGAGGAGGTTGTGTATATTTTCTTCGAACTGGGTGCTGGTTTCCGGGGCGTAGACCGAATTGCACTTGACAAGCGTGGCTTTGTCTGTAGGTTCCGTTTTGTTTTCAACGTCTCTAGGCTTAACGTCATGGGTATCGACTAGGAGAGGGGGCTCGTCTCCCAGTTCCGAGGCCGTGGTGGAAATATCGGAATAGCCGTCGTGCTTGTTGAAGATGCTTTGTAACGTTTTGACTCCGAAGTACTTCTTCTTGTGCTTCCGTTGCTTTTTGTACTCCCGGTTCGGTTTGTGCAAGGGAGAACTGCCGCAGCTCTCCACTGAGTTCAAGAGGCTCTGGTCGCTTTTTGGGTTGGACAGGGAGTCATTAGACGCGTACAGCTTGGGCTCGTCGAACAACTCGTCCACTTTTTCTATTTCCAGTATGTTGGTTTCGTAGTCGAAGTTCGTTTTCTGCGGGTTGGTCTCCGTCTGGAGGTTTTTGGGGCTTTGTGAGTCGTTCGAGGCTAAGTCGGTGGATAGTATCTCCGAATCCAAGTAAACGTCCGTGCTCGTTTGCATCGGGGATGATAGATTCTCGGAATTCAGGGAGTTTGTCGACGTGTTGAAGTTATCGTTTATGTTGGAAAAGATATCCACTTTCTTGAAGTTCTCTAACTTTATGATGTTGTTGGTGGAGTTGTCGATGAGAACCAAGTCGGTTGTATCTATGTTGTAGATGTCATTTGTTATTATTTTAGTGGTTGTGTCGGGGGATTTGTTGTTATTCGAGTTGCGGTTTATAATGTTGCTCAGTTTTTCGTCGGTTGTGTGTTTGTACTCTTCTTCGTTCCCGTTGTTGGTGTTTAAGTTGTAGTTATAATTGTCGCTATTGATTATATGGGTTTCCTCTTTGCCTAGAAACGTCGGTGACTTTTTCTTCTCGGGGCTGTTCGACGTGCTCCTGGACAATCTGAAAGAGTCATTTTACCTTTTTTTCTCCAGCTCTTTCGACACGCCGTGCTTTTTTCATGCAGAAAATGATAACAGTGCTACTAAAAATCCTTCGTAGTGGAAGACAGATATGTTTTACGAAATAATTAAAATTCAATGAAAAGTTTTCCGTTTCTGTCTTACACCCGAAAGCAATTCTACTTTTAAGACTTGTTCTCGAAAGGGCAGAAAGAAACGTAAACTAATAAAAACAAATTTATTACTCTTACGTCATAAACAATAATAAACAAAAAAGTAGCGTATATAGAGATAACGATTATATAGTGCGTACTTAGTATAACAGTTGGCCTTAAGATTAATTAAAAAAAAATATACNCATTTAGTTTACAGAGCGCAATGACAGTGTGAAACTAAAATCAATATTTTAGTTTCAAGAATAAACAATCGCCTGACAGCTGAAAGTACACTTTAGTCCTGCAGAATAGTAAAATTAAAACAACACTTTTAGTTCACAGAGCAAAAATAGTGCAATTGATGAAGCAATTGACAAAAGTGCGTCCTTTAGTTTTGAATTTTAATCACAGAGGCAATATCAGCCTTTAGTTTACAATCAGTATTTTAGTTTAAAGAATAAACAATCGCCTGACAGCTCAAAATACACTTTAGTCCTGCAGAATAGTAAAATTAAAACGGCATTTTTAGTTCACGGAGTGCAAAAATAGTACAATTTGTGAAGCAATCGACAAAAATGTGTCCTTTAGTTTTGAATTTTAATCACCTGAGAGCACCTTAGTGCTCTATATGTTTTCTGTGTTCCAAAAATTAGAAAAAAGGAATTCAAATAGTGGTTTTAGTTCACAGGGTACAATAACAGTGTGAAACTAAAATAAAAAATTTGAAAACAGAATTAAAATATCAGTTCGCAGAATGCAGAAATAGTGTTTAAATTATTAAAATGTATTTTTTAATTTCTAGAACGAGTAGTCAGTAGAACGGCGACAATAAAAAAATATCTTTAGTGCACGGAGTGCAAAAATAGTGTACTTATTATATACCACGGCGTTAAAATGCTTCTTTTACTTTTGAAGTTGAACTATCACCTTAAAAATCGTAAATTGCATCATTGTTGTAATATAGAAATATTAAAATATTCTTAATTCGTAAAAACTACTAAAGTGAGTCTATTAATAAAAGAACTACTGTTTAGTACTCTGTACTAGTCTTAGTACTTTGATATAATACTTATTAATTCAATTTAGTTTCATACTAATATGATGTACTTATATTAAAAATATAGGCGACGAACCATGACTCCAACGGCTGTCATGTTAAGGACTAAAAATGATGCCTTAGTGCATGCAATTGTCTAATAATTTCGAGTAGCTAATTGCATTTGGATGGATACAGCTTGAATCCCTTTAAATATCTGAACTTTCAGGTCACGCGCCATTCAGAATCTTTGATAAATTTAACCCCCCAAAGAATAAGTTGCAGACATATCCTGAAAATTGATCCTCGGCTCACGTTAAATAAGCGTTCCCTCAGGTTATTGATTATGGTATCCTTACCTCATTTCATGAGCAAATGGAAGTTTATCAGCTTTCTAAAATATTTAAATTAGACGATCAATCTAACTTGTCAGACGTCCGAAATTGATGTAAGCTCGAACCGCGATTAAATCTTTCGAATAATAAGTTTCCTACGGTCTACAAAGCAGGTGAACTATATTAATAATAAACAGTTTTTTCTTTGTTAATAAATTAAGTGTTCAAGACTTTTTTGACACAGTGCGCAAGTTCTGATTGATATTTTTTTAACCAGAGAAAGGTACAACTGAGAACAGACTCAAGTTATTTTTTTCATGACTAAACAATGTAAAGAGACAAAATTTAGTATTGGATAATTAAAAAAAAATGTACCTATACAGGTTCGGAAAGTCCTCATGGTACATCGGCCGTTATGTGAGAGCGATAAAGTAAGTCCTAGAATTGTATAAGTAGTGACATCTATTAAAGAAAAGGCAAACGACGAAAACAAAGATGACCACCGGTCGCTGAACTACAAGTGGAAGTGGATCTTATTTGTGGAAGGGTAAAACGGGCGGTGACTATGAAACGTCTGCATTATAGACATCCTTCTCTATCGCACAAATTTCTATTGGGGTTATTTAAGTTGTTTGTGTCGCACACGTCCTCATCGAAAAATCTATAAGGGCGATATTCGATTATTACACTTGATGTCGTTAAATACAGGGTGTTAAGATACAGACACCAGAATGACTGTGTTTGGTATCAAAGCCACAATTTTTATTTTGACTTTTTGCCGTAAGTTTTTAATATATTGCTCTGAAAGACTTCTTTGGACGATAAACAATAACATTACCAGTATTTTAATGCAAGATTTAGAGGGATTAAAACTTGAAACAGGAACTGTATTTGTAAAGATACCCAAAAAAAATGGTAACCTCGATTTTCCATAAAAGTTGAAATTCTACATATTTTTTTCAAATTTGAAATTGCATAAAAATTCTTTTCAATTCAAGTCTTTACAAAAATAAAATGTTTTCGCAAACAAAAAGTTACAGAGCGGCCAAAAACATCTATAGTAACCAAAACTGGAAAGTTGGGACTTTTACAAAAGCCGTCAAAAGAAAAAGAATGAAAATATTCGACACATGCATTCAAATCTAGTGAAAAACGACAAAATGTGGCAACAGTGCTATTACTTGGATTTAAAAAGATAAAGTGGTGCAAAAAATCGTAGCAAGATTAAAATAATTTAATAATTATAAATAAATATAATT